CTCTCATCACAATCAGTGTTTAAACGGAACTTCACCAGTTTATCTGAAGGACCTTCTTGCTCCATTTTCATCCACCCAGTCCCTACGATCACAGAACAGTCATCTCCTTCTCCTTCCATGAACTAAATTAAGGACCATGGGAGATCAGGCATTCTGTGTGGCTGGCCCCCCACCTCTGGAACTCCCTCCCTGAATATCTGAGAGCTCCACAATCATTGGTTGACTTTAAAAAAAGGCTTAAAGACTTTTCTTTTTAAGTAAGCCTATTCTGCCTCCAAATGATTTTATCACTGATTTTAGTTGATTTTGTCACTGATCTTATTTGCACTTTGAAATTTTTGTTAATGAAAAGTGCGTTACAAATTAAATTCATTATTATTATTATTATTATTGTTCTCCTAAAAACTGGAAGTCTTTTAAATAATCATTTCACCTGCATCAAACACTGCTGACACATAAAAACTGGTATCAACTATTCACATTTGCTACTTATGATGCAAGAAGGTTTTCCAGCTATTGAGACTCACTATTTAGACTGTGTTTCTGCCTGTGTTGTAAGGAAGTGAGAGACAGATGTGTGGTTACTGTGGCGACCGAATGAGCCACTGGTAGCAGCATCCACATTTTGCTTGTGCAGATAATTACAAATAAAGTCCCAAATTATCTCAGAGCTTTATGGAAGAAAGGTTTTGATACTGGTGGCTCAGTTGGTAGAGCTGTTCCCTCTCAGCGAGAAGGTCGACAGTTCAAATCCCGGCCCGGGACCTTTCTGGGTGGAGTTTGCATGTTCTTTCCTAGCATTTGTGGATTTTCTTCAGTTACTCCAGTTTCCTCCCACAGACCAAAAACATGCATGTTAGACTGACTGGTAACTCTAGAGTGAATGGTTGTTTGTCTGTTTGTCTCTATGTGTTTCTGTGATGGACTGGAGACCTGTCCAGGGTGTCCCCCACCTCTCACACAGTGATTGCTGGATATGGGCACCAGTGACCCCCCGTGACCCAATAAAGAAGAAGCAGGTAAAGATAATGGATAATTTTGATAATTTCAGGCAGTAGATGTAGATAATTTCAAGTTTGTAACGGTGAGTCTGAGGTCAAAGGAACACAAACAAAGCTTTGTGCTCAGATTTGTGCAAATACCTCTCTGTTCTGAGCTCCAACAAGAAATGCACAATCTAATCGCCCCCACCAGTGAAAGAGAAAATGAAGAAGAGTGTACGACAGTCTTGACATGAAAAGAAGAAGCCCATCCAGAACAGAGCAGCACACAAAAGCCTGGCTCATGCAGACGGGGGATGAAGGGGGGGCTGCAGCGTAGCAGACAGTCGGTGTGCCCACCCAGACTGTCTCTGATGAAAACAGCTCAGCTCAGGAGAGGAGAAACAAAAGGTTTGAGAGTCTAATCATGACAGCGCAGTGCATAGATGAAATCCACTCATCTTATTTTAGTCGGTGTCTGATGAGCGCTTCCAGATGTTACAGCCTCTGCAGGTGCACAGTTTTAATCTGCCTGGTGATAAATACTCTCACAACCAGGTCAATAAAATAATTTACAACCAGATAAGCAGCAGCTGTCAGGAATACACGGTCAGTTAGTGAAATGAATGTAAGGGTTATTTCAGAGGTAAACTCAACAGGTCTGACATTGTGAAGTCTTGAAGCAACACTGAACTGGGACAATGCAACTTGATGCATGCGGTGCAGCACTGGGGCACTGAGCGCGCGTGTGTGCGCGCAGTGGAGCATGGAGAATGGAAGAAAAGAGTTTGAACAGTTGAGAGAATGGGCTTTAGGCGCCTGCAGAAATGGTGGGGGGGGGGGGGGGGGGGGGAGGCAGACAACTGGGAGAAACTCAGACGAGAGAGTGGAGTGACTTGCAAGAGGTGACATCATCTTTAATTTGATTAATCCTCCAGACCGAGAGGCGATTGGCTGTTCTCAGAGGAAAAAAGACCTCTTCTTCTATTCAGTCCCTTTTCAGTTTTGCCATGGCGCGCTGTCTGCTAAATGCTGCGTTCAAGGACTCGCGGAGAATTCCACCTTTTGAGGAAGGGGAGAAAAAGAACCTGCTGGAAATGCTGTTGTGTCACTGCCAAAATGCACATAATAATCTGGAGTAACATTGTCCCCCAGATAGAAATGTTCCCCTTCATATCGTGTGTGCTAAATTTTATCATCTCACATCGTGGTGCACAAAAAGTGACATGACCTTAATCAAGTTTATGCAAATAGCAACTCTTGCCCTTTTTAATAAAATGTCGTTTGCTCTCAGGCATTCCATTATTTTCCTGCCATGTTTAGTTATTTTTGCTCTGTCGCATGAACTAAGCAGGTTGGTATAGCAGATGTTGCTAGAATTAATGTTTACTTATTTATTTATTTCTACAAAAACCAAACAAACGTGCAAAATATGGTCAAAAAACGACGACTATGGCTTCTTTTGTCTCTGGATTTCCCGCCATAAATTCAGACTCAAAGTCCTTTTTGTGGGTTTTTCACATTTATTCTTTTGCTGTTTTAATTTCAAACATGATTTTCATTAAATATTTGTATATGTGTAATAAATAACCCCATAACATTTTTTTTTTAAATTTGCTTTGGGTAAGAAAAGAACAAGTTATTAAAATGACTAGCAAAATGCTAATATGCCTTTATGCTATAGGCTAACTAGACAGTAGCTTCTCTATTTGGCTCTTGACAAGACATTTAAATGTTGAATAGTATTTGTTGACATCATCTAAATACTAAATAGCATTTCTTAAAATAATTTATATTGTTTGCCACTTTTCGTATCAAGATTTTTGACTAAGATCATTGAGAAAGCAGTTTTAGCTGCTTTGGTCAAGCCTTGAAAACAACTTTATGCACTGCCTTGTGCTATATTGTCCACGGAGTATACGTTGTGAATGACTCTCAGCGACTACCATATTTAATTCCTGCTCAATATCTGTAAATCTGACAAAGTTATGGCCATTTTTTTTTTTGTTGGATATTGCTGGTTAGCTTTGGCATCAGTCTCAAATTAAAAGTAGTCAGTTGTAGATGATAACTTTGTTCAAATTCATCCAGTAGTTCATGAGATATTTTGCTAACAGACAGAGTTGGCTCTAACTGTTAATACTGAAGTTTGTGCAGAGTATTGTGCTGGAACTTAACTATATCCAGCTTGCCAAGTTAAAGCACAATTCTATTAAAAAAAACGAGTTAAAGTTGTTTATTTTTTGGTTATAGTTTTTAGTTGTGGCGGCCATCTTGTATTGGGTTTGCTCAATCAGTTGTAGATTTAATGATTATTTCCTGAAAGTTTCAAATATGTCTACTTGTTAAATAGATGTTTAGCTAACAGACAGAGTTGGCTCCAACAGTCCATGGTACAAATTTTAAGAAATATCTTGATCATTCTATTACAAGTAGCAGCACGGTGGCGCAAACGGTAGAGCCGCTGCCTCTCAGCGAGCAGGTCTCTGGTTCAAATCCCGGTTCGCTGGCCTTTCTGGGTGGAGTTTGCATGTTCTCTCCATGCATGCGTGGGTTTTCTCTGGGTACCCCAGTTTTCTCCCACAGACCAAAATCATGCATGTTAGGCTGATTGGTAACTCTAAATTGTCCCTAGGTGTGAGTGCGAGAGTGAATGGTTGGTTGTCTCGTTTGTCTCCCTGTGTCCCTGTGATGGACTGACCCGTCCAGGGTGCCCCCCGCACAGTGACTGCCGGACATGGGCACCGGCGACCCCTGTGACCCAAAATGGAAGAAGCGGGTAAACGATAATGGATGGATGGATTCTATTAGAAGTATTAGAGCATGTGTCGGGGATCAGTCTCAGCTACTACCACACCAAATGTTAGGTCAGCGTCTGAAAAATTGCTTGAGTTATTTGCATTTTTATGCTTCCTGAAATCAGTTGGTCTGGCAGCCGTCTTGAAAGAGGTTGACTCCAAAACTTAAACATTTGAAGATGTTCTTCGGATGATTACTTTCTGCAAGTTTTGTTAACATTTGTCTCGTAGTTCGTGAGATATTTGGTAAAGGACAGGAACACAAACCCAGAGATGACTTCTGTTGTGACTACTTGGCGCTGTATAAATAAACTGAATTGAATTAATTGAACACAAACGCATGTATGGACAAACAAAAAGGGAAAAGAAAAAGTTTGCCCGCCTTCACCTTTCGGGGGTAATTACCGCACAAAACATGATAAAATAATCATGACACGCAACTACAACTTAAATTTCTCTATTATTTAAATTCCTGAATCCGTGAAGGCACCGAATCTAGTTCGTGTCCAGCGCGGGTTTCACGTTGCCTGGATTTTCCGACGACACGTGAACGCAGCAGCCGCCCTCCGCCTGTCATCCATCGTTCCGCCGGTCTGCGTTGCGTTCAGGGGCGAGCGAAGTGAAGCGGAGCAGCGTCCTTCTCGTTTTCTTCAGCCCGGGGTGCGCGCATCTCCCGCCGAGAGAGACTCGACGAGAACCAGAAGTTGATTCGTCGTCGACTCGATTCGAGTTACTACGCCACTGTCCTTCCTTCGACCCGGTTTCGTTTTCACCTTCATGCGCGCTTCTTCTTTTTTCCGGAGTCTCCAGCCGAGGTGGACGGGCCGACACTCCTCTCCCTGGGCGTAGACTTGGCTAGCCGCTCCGCTGACTGGTGAGCTCGCGACTGTTGTAGCTTTAGCTAGCATGCTATCAGTTAGTAACTACAGTTTTATAACATTAAACGGTCCTTTAAATAAACATCAGTGACTGTTAGAGGCCGTCTCTGTTATAGTTGGAATTTCTATTGTTTCTGGATTTTAGCTAATCGTACATTGTAACAGAGGTGCTAATTGTTCGTGTGATTATCTCTGTTAAACATTCCGTAAAATAAGGTTTTGTTTCGGTGTCATCCCATCGTTTTGTCCCCGGAGCCTCTGGGCTTCAGTGATTTGTGTGTAAACGCGCTTGTCGGGGCGGTGGCAGGCTCCGTGATGGTAGTCGCTCAGCAAACCTGTTAGATACGACCACTAACTGTTCAGCTGTTCAGATTTGGGCTCTTTCCATTACAGGTCCCTTTGTGTGGCCATTTTGTCCGCCTTTTCACCCTAAAGTTTCTCTTTTCTTCTTTCTCTTCTCGCCTCCCCCCCTCCATCCTCCACTCCCATTGTTCTGGGATGGACAAAAAGTAGTGAGAGCTGGTGATGGCCTGAGAATAGTTTTATTTTTGAACAGTTTTATTTCATGCAGCAGGTTGTAGCAGCTGAAATGTCCTTCAGAGAGTTGAACACAGCTGGTATTAATTAGAGGTGATTAATGTCAGCCTGCTCTAAAGTCCTCAGCTGTTTTCTGTCTGGAGGAAGCTCCCAGGACTGTCCCTGACCTGTGAGGACATCACCACCAAGAGACAAGTTGACAGACGCTGACCGCCAAACACTTGGTAAAGTTAGAACCAGCTAAAATGAGCAAAACGAGCTACAATCGAACATTAACAAAGCTGTGGCTATAAGCTAAATGTAGCAAAACTGCAGCTAAAATCCAAATTTAGCAATGGAGTAGCTAAAAGCTAATAGCAAAAGTAGCAAAAAAAGCTAAACAAAAGACAAACTGTTGGTAAAAAAAAATCAAACTGGCAAAACGGCAACTAAATCTAAAATTAGCAAAAGTTAAAAGGAACAAAAGTAGTTAAAAATAGCAAAACTTTAGCTTAAAGCTAATATTTGCTAAATCATACCTAAAGCTAAAAAATTTCAAAGCAGAATTTGGCTAAAAGCCAAATGTAGAAAACTAGTAGTAAAGCTAAGTGTAGCAAAACTGCTGCTAAAATTAGCTAAATAGAAGTAAAAGCTGAAATTAATAAAACTGCAGCTAAAAGCTAAAATCAAAATATAGCAATATAGTAGCTAATGGCAAAAGTAGCAAAAATGCTAAACAAATGACAAACTGTTGGTGAAAGATCAAATTGGAAAAACAGCAACTAAATCTAAAATTAGCAGAAGCTAAAAGGAACAAAAGTGTAGTTAAAAATAGCAAAACTGTAGCTTAAAGATACAATTTGCCGATCTATATCTAAAGGCTAAACATTTCAAAGCAGCATTTGGCTGAGAGCCAAATGTAGAAAAACAGTAGCCTAAAGCTAAGTGTAGCACAGCTGCAGCTAAAATGAACCAAATAGAACTAAAAACTTCAATTAGCAAAACAGCAGCTAAAAACTAAAATCCAAATATAGCAATGGAGTAGCTAAAAGCTAATGGCAAAATTAGCACTAAAAACTAAACAAAAGACAAACTGTTGGTAAAAGATCAAATTGGCAAAACAGCAATAAATATAAAATGGGCAAAAGCTAAAAGGAGCAAAAGTGTAGTTAAAAATAGCAAAACTGTAGCTTAAAGCTAAAATTGTCCAAACCACACCTAAAAGCTAAAATTTTCAAAGCTGTGGCTAAATGCTAAATGTAGAAAAGTAGTAGCCTAAAGCTAACTGTAGCAAAAGTAATCAGCAAAAACAGTAGCTAAAAGATAAAATAAGTTAAGCAGTTGCTTAAAAAGAAAATGATCAAAACCCTAACTTAAAGCTAAACTTAACAAAGCAGCAACTAAAAGCAAACTTTTACTAAACTAGCTGAAAATGAAAATACTTAAAGCAAGTTAGCTGAAATCTAAAATGATCTAAATGTAGCCCAAAGGTAAAATTTGCACAGTCATAGCGACAAGTTAAGCATAGTGAAAGTAGTAGCTAAAAGCTAAAAAGAGCAGAGAGAGAATTCAGCGTTCACACAGTTACATCTGCAGGGAGGGGAACAGGCACACTGGTCCCAAAGCCTGGTCTAAAATGTGCACTAAACCTCAGGTGTGCACTCAGGTCGAGGTTCAAGATTCTTGTCCCTTGAGAGATGGTCCAGAGCTTTTTGTGTCCTTGCTGGAGATGGTTTGATGACAATACTCAGTAATCCACCATGAATGTTGATGTCATCCTGAGTTAATGGTATCCCTGGGCAACTAATGTGTGCCTTTTAAGGCCTGTCCCCGCTGGGGGCTCAGATTCACTCCAACAGTCCTAAGTCAGAGGTGGGCTAAGCCATCGGTGAACACCCCGCCCCCCTTTTCTCTTCTGGCCCATGGATGAACGAATGGCTGACTCACCGCGTGCACTGATGAGGCAGGAAAACTACAGCCAGGCGGTCTAATCCAATCATGTGAAATTAGATTTAGCTGCCATTAAAAGGCACGCTCAGCTTTAATGAAGTTCATCAGCAGGGACTTTGAAAGATTACTATGACCTGAGGCGTTCTGTGAGCGGGGAGGATCAGTAACCAACACTCACTAATAAATCCTAAATAGCTGGGAAAAAACGCAAGTGATGTGTAGACGTGTGTCTGACTTCAGCCTTTGATGAATCGTAGAAATCAGGAACTCTTTGTCTTGTGGAACGGACAGCAGTGTGTGTTTTCTCTGCTAGCAGTGTGTTTTTTACTGGGTTGTATTGATTTGTGTGTTGTCTCTGTGTCAGAGGAGATGAAGTCTGCAGCGTTGGCTTCTCACCATGGTGAGAATGAAAGCATG